CATGCTCACAATAAGTCTACAACGTCTGCAAGTATTCAGATTTGCAATTCGTGATTTATCAATAAAAATTTTTGTCACTCCGAATAAGCAATTTTAAAAAATATGAATGCAATGATAAATTACATGTGATATTTTGCACATTTTAGATAGGATTTATTCGGCAAAATTTTCAGATGAAGTCATCAATGTTTTGGAGTTGATAAACAGATACATTGTACATAAAAATTTACCATGCTTACAATACCTTCAAAATGTCTGCAAGGTTTTGAACTATTCAGGTTTGCAATTCTTGATTTAATCAACAAAATAAATTGACCCTGTTATTAATTTTTTTGAGACACCCGGTCTAAGCGGACCTAAAAAATACACACCTCAAAAAAATTAACGCAACATTTCAAATTTGTTAATAACAACTGAAAAAATTACAAAAAGATACTAAAAAACATGCCTTATGATTAGTTAGAAGGAATTTTGTTTCATCTACGCAAAAAAAAAAGTTCCTTATTATTTTGTAACTGGTGGATCTATTAAAAGAAAGAAAGTATCTTATCATGGTACCCTTATACCCAATTCTAAATCACATGCTTGTGAAATTTTAGAAGTGAAAACGTCATTTTCGCTTATAATGAATGTTCCTAATCGCATTACGCGTAATTTATCGAAGAAGCGGCTATCCGGGCTGTAGCTTTGGTTGAAGATGGTTAGACCCAACGCTGTGGTAAATCTACTGGGTGTTGATCGTTCGACCATTTCTAAATTAATGCAAAATTATCAAAGTACTGGAAGCATGAATAGAAGACTAGGACAAGGTCGTAAACGGAAAACATCACAACGAGATGACCGATTTTTGCGCTTAACAGTACTCAGGTCGCGACACTGCACAGCAAAAATGCTCCAAACAGAGATTTTAACTGCTCGCGATGTGGTGCTGGGTACCCAAACGGTACGAAATCGTTTGCGAGAAGTTGGTATGCGTCCAAGAGTACCTCCCAAAGCACCCTTGCTCACCAGGGCACACAAGGTAGCGCGCTTAAACTTTGCGCTAAATCATCACTAGAGAGCGGATTTTATGAAATTTGCATATCCTTTATTTTTTGCATATAAGTCTTGATATTTAACATGTGAACGAATCATGCTAATTAAAAATGAATACAACTATAAAAAAATTGCATATTTGCATATATTTGCCTTCTGCTGCATATTTTACGTAACGGGTGCATATTTTGCATTTTTATTAATTTTTGTGCTAATTTGAAAAAAAATTATTGTCATTCCATCGGCATTTATCTAGAAAGACGAAATTTCATGAATCATATTGGAAATGTTACAACTAATATCCGAAATACGTTATTATGCATAATAACTAGACATTTTAGGAATTATGCGTAATAACTAAACTTGTCAGGTATTATGCATAATAACCGGAAACATTAGGAATTATGCGTAATAACTGAATTTTTCAGTTATTATGCATAATAACGGAAACGTTTAGGTAATATTGATAATAACTAAAAGAGGAACAGCAAGTCGATTACTACAATTTTGTAACTCGTTCTGTTTACCTATATTTATATTTTATTATAAAAACATTATCTTTAAAAATGTGATTTATGTGCCAGTGAGATTTAATTAAACACTTTACAATGTGATTTATGTATTTTTGTTTAATAAAAGGAACGGGTACCCTGTTTTTGTAATTTGTAAATAAATTTAGTTCGGTTGTTAGGATTTTTTTTTAATTTTTGGAGCATATGCAACTGCATATCTCTGCATATATTAAGAAAGTTACTGCATATTTGCATAAATTTGATGCATATCATATGATCATATTTCCCAAAATTTTGCTGCATATTTTCCGCTCTCTAATCATCACCATTGGAATGTCGAGGATTGAAGCAATATAATGTTTGCAGACGAATCTCGTTTTTGCCTGTATTCCTCAGATCGTCGTATGCCGATGTACAGACGACCTGGCAAGCGATATTTGCCTACCAATATTCTTCTACAAGTGAATTTTGGAGGAAGCTCTATAATGTTTTGGGGTGGCATTTCCTACACCGGACATACTGAATTGGTGGCGCTACCAGGAGCTCGTTTAACAGCTACACGGTATATTACTGATGTTTTGAAACCTCATGTTATGCCCTGTGGAGCCTACATAGGGCTAAATTTTACATATATGCACGATAATGCGCGGACTCATACAGTTCACATTGTGCAACGATATTTAGAAGAGGTTGAAATTCTGCTTCTACCACGGCCAGCCAGGACTCCCGACATGAACCACACTGAACATGTATGGGACTATGTGAAACTGAGGATAAAGGAGCGCAGATTGGTTCTTGGAGACTTTAATGCCATCTAGAATGCCATCGTGCAAGAGTGGGAATATCTTCCGTAAGAGTACATTAGGGGTTTAATCGAGAGTATGCCTCGACTAATGTAGGCTGTTATTAGAGGTAGAGATGGAAATACTTCGTATTAATTTGACTTTTGTTTGTGTCGGATTGTTATTAACATTTAATGGCTAAGATAAAAGACCAACTTCTGGTAGTAAATTTTCTTTTTGCTCGTTTTGTCTTTATTTTACTTCACTGTAAACGCTACAGTTGCCTACAGGAGCATCTCTTATAGTAAATTCGCAAAAACAACGTGTTGCGTTAATTTTTTTGAGGTGTGTATTAATGCAGTGATAAACCACAAGTATACACTCATCATAATTTGCATATTTAAGATTGGTTTTACTCAATAATATTTTGAGGCGACGTCAACAGTTTTTTAGGGGGGGGGGGGGTTGAACAAATCTCCAAGATTTCAAAGCATTCGGTTTTGCAGTTCTTGATTAAATCAACAAAATAAATTCACGCACCGATTAATTTTTTTGTTCATGCTGTATAAGCAAATCCAAAAAATGTGAATGGAATGATAAATCGCTAGTATCATATTTTGGACATTTTGGATAGGATTTATTCGACAAAATTTTGAGCAGACAGACACGGAAACCTGTATAAAGAGAGAAGTTCCCTTGTCTTTTTTAAATTCAAAATAATTTTTTTTTGAGCATATAAGATAGGATTAGTTCTGCAAAATTTTGAGGTTATTTCATCACTTTTAGGGGGGATGAGCAAATACATTTTGATTAAAAATTTACCATGCTCATGATGACTTTCAAATATCTCCAAGATTTTAAAGCATTTGGTGTTGTATAAGGAAATCCAAAAAATCTAAATGGAATGATGTATCACAAGTACAGACTCATCATATTTTGTATATTTTAGATAGCATGTTTCATAATTTTGATTTTTTTTCAAAAAATCTGGACGTTTTGGGTAAAAACTCAACATGGCGTCATAAACTACATGTGGAGGACTATGTTATTTTATACAATTTAAAACCCATTAGATTAGATAAATTTTGGTTAGCGTTTTCCATCTACATGAACATGATATTCCTAATATAAATACAAAATTTGAAAACATGATAACAGTCGGTCCAGTACTTTTGTATTATCTGTCTAATTAAAATCCGTGAGGGCAGACAGACAGACGGAAAAGGGAGACCTATTTCTTCGTAGTCTACGGGTCATGAAAGGTCGAGAAAACGTAAAAGTAGAAAGTCGGTCGACGGACTCGATTACAGTCCTTCTGTAATGTACTCGTAATTTATATATATATATATATATATTTCCATTAAACACGATTCTTATCTGGCGAGCATGGCACGAGGAAGGTAGAGGTCACCGAGCTAGAGATTCTGGGCGCAGGAGGAGCACGAATCCACGTGAAAATCGGTACCTACGAACATTGGCAGTAAGAAACCAACATGTGTCTAGACGTAGAATACCAGATGACTGGTATGCGGCGGTTAGTCGGCCGACTGCGATGAGAACAATTTACACCCGAATTCAGTCGTTTGGACTACGTTCCTATCGTCCCCATTTGGTACTACCGCTAACTCCAGAACATCGCCGTCAACGCTTGGAATGGTGCCGCGAACGTTTAGGCTGGGATCTTGAGTGGAATTCACTAGTCTTTTCAGATGAATCCCGCTTTTGTTTAGGCATGCACGACGATCGGCAAAGGGTGAGAAGATTTCGTGGAGAACGAAGGAATATTGGCTTTTTCTGTGGAACGACATGTGGCTCAAACTGTGGGCATAATGATACGGGGAGCTATTGCATACGGCAACAGTTCACCTTTAGTCATGATTCAAGGCTCTAAGACAGCTCAACGATATCTTGATGTGATCCTGGAACCGGTTGTTATACCGTTTGGTCAAACCCTCGAAGATGCCCTATTGCAGCAGAACAATGCCCGGCTGCATATTGCAGGGGTCTCTTTAAGGTGCTTAGAAGATGCCCAAGTGCAAATTCTTCCTCAGCCTCCTCGTTCGCCCGACCTGTCACCTATTGAACATGTGTGGTACATGATCGGCAGAAGGCTAGGTGAATTATCACAGTATCTACAGACTCTAGCTCAACTTTGACATGAAGTCCAGGTTGCTTGGGAATCCCTGCCTCAGGATAATATTAAAAAGTGGTTACGGACGTACCTTTCCCTTCTTTTATTTCGTTCGTTATTCGAAGAAAAAAACAAATTTATAAATTCCACCACAAATCTAAACAATTTTTCAATTGGCAAATTTAATAAGAATACTACCGGTACATTATCATATTAAATAAAAATACATAGCAGCATAAAACGTACGAATTTAGAATAGTTACTTACATGTAAGTACAAGTATAATAAGAATCATAATGGCAAATGTATGGAAATGACTTTAATTTGAAGTATGTGAATCGTCTAATAAAAAAGTTTTATACGTTTACTCACTATTACAATTGTAGGAAGATGGACTACAGATACTCTACTAAGGGTAAAAATCATTTACGACTTAGTAGAAAAAGAAAAAGGTCTACTGCGAAAATAAATACACTTATACAATTAATGTAAGTAAAGACTTAGTAAAAATAGAGTTATGATATTTTAATTTTCCAAATTTTCGTGTCTATAGCAAAAAAAGGAAAGAAGATTCAAACACCGAGAAAAATACCAACCAATCTACAAGGTAAATATTTATTGATAATGTTTAAAATATCTACTAGTCTTGAAATGTTTGTACCATTTTTATAGTTCTCTGACCTCAGAAGGTAACAACAATGTACCTACCTCGCACGCAGAAGGGGAAAGTTCAGTAACAGAAGATACTACGTATGTTGAATAATTGAAATTAATTAATTCTTTATAATTAGTTTGTATTTTGACGATTACTAACAACGTAAGTTTTGTAAATAGATATGAAACAGGGAATGAAAATCGCAGGAATCAAAGACAACTTACTTTATCTTCAAAGAGAAAAAAACGAGTAGTGAACATTGGACTCCTGAATTGGAATATTAAAAGGTGCACACTTAATTTTAACTACATATTATCTACTCGTATTTACACAGAATATTTTGAAATTTGACGATTTCCAGGTCAACTTATAAAACAAACAAAACATGTGAAGATGTTCCTCTGTCTAACGATCAGCAATATGCGAACGCAAGGTAACGAGCATTATTATTAATACTACTTTTTTTTAATTTGAAGTAATTTTATGCAAAACTATTTCTCCTAGAGATACTTTGGTCACGAGTAATATATATGAATTTGATGAACCAGACGAAGAGTCACCACCGAATCAAACAATCATTCAGCATGAGTAATAATTATTTACTATACATAATAACAAATGTGTGCAATCCTTATTTTTATTTTTAAGGGAGCCTATCACTGATTTAGAAAATATGGTTGTCGAACAAATACCACCAAATCCTGGAAATGATCCCCTCATAAATGATATATGTGGTAGATTTGTAGTTGACGGTAAACATTTTTTGAAGGAATTACGAAAACTGGAATATCATCGTCATGAATGCTTAAGGAGTTCGGACGGTTATTTCAAATTGCTAAAGTCTCGTTGTAAAAATTTAATATGGCTTTTACAATTCCAATGTCCATACTGCAAAATTACTAAAACTGTTGCAAGTGAACCTCCAACAGCAACTTCACGTACTCATGATGACGCAAAAGAGAACAAGCAATGTATGCCTCAAACAAGCACCTTTCAAAAAATTACCACCACACGTCAACTATCATTGAGTGAAAGTGCCGTCTGGGGTACAATCTCAACAGGGAACGGACATTTTCAAATGGAAGAAATTTTTTCAACTATAGGAGTTAAAATTATAGACCAGAAAACATTTTCCAAAATAGAAATGAATTTGGGTAAAGTAAGTAATATATGAAAAGAATGATTGATGGCTAAAGTCTTTATACTTGTTATTGTTCTAAAGGTTTGGCATGAAATTCTGTTCGAATCTATGATGGAGACAGGAGAAGAAGAAAAAAGATTGGCTATTGAAAGCGGTGATGTAACTTCAGATGGAACACATTTCATCACCGTTATAGTCGATGGCGGATGGTCTCACCGTAGCTACGGGCACAGATACACTGCCAACTCGGGGGTGGCGTGTGTCATAGGCAAACGCACTAAAAAACTTTTGCATTTAGACGTACGTAATAAATATTGCGCTATGTGTCTCTACCGAAAAAAACAAAATATGACTGAAGGACACGAAAATTGTTTCAAAAATTGGAATGGAAGTTCTGCTGCTATGGAAGCCGATATGTTAGTACAAGCTTTTCGACAAAGTAAAACTTTTCATGGTTTGGAATATAGACGTTTTATTGGAGATGGTGATTCAAGTGTATTCGCACGACTTTATGAGAAAGTTTCATATGGTCGAAATATTGAAAAACTGGAATGTGCAAACCATGCTATAAAAAACTATACCAAAGCACTTTGCAAAGTACAAGGCGTTTCTAAAATTATTAGGTCAGTGCTTACGCCAGGAGTGGTCAGACGTCTGAAGATAGGGGCAAGATGTGCTATAATTCATAATTCAAAAGAGAATCAGAATCCTGAAATATTAAAAGAGGATTTGAGAAACGGACCAGCCCATGTATTCGGCATTCACAAAAATTGTAAAAATTATTTTTGTCATTCAGACAAAAGTGAAAAGGTTTTAACAGATAATGAACTTGCTGCATATAATTATGTGCACGAATGTCTTAAGCCCTTGTTACGAAAAGCACCACGGCTTGTTACTAATGATACCAGCAATTTGGCTGAAAACTTTATGTCACTTGTGGCAAAGTTTGTTGGTGGAAAACAAATTGATTGTGGGAAAAGAGGAGCCTATACTATACGAGCTCGAAGTGCAGGTCTTGATTTCCAATATGGTCCTATGTGGCACTATAATAGTATGAAAAAAGTTATTGAGAAAAGTCCTTCTTGCTTGGTGAAACGGCTTGGGGAGAAACGCTTAAAAAAACAAAGTAACACCAGAAGATCGCTATTTAATTCAGGAAAACCTAGACGAAAAGTAAAAAATAACAATGACGGTTGTAAAGATTATGGAGAATCGTGCCATAAACTAGATTTGGATGAAGAAGAATTTAAAAAAGAAAAAGAACAATTTCTCAAAAATATAGCCATATCGTGCAAGGAAGAACAAGACAAGATTGAAGAAACTACCAGAGGACAACGAGAAAATGAGGAATGGTTTATACAAAGGAAAAACAGATTAACTGCATCACTCTTTGGCTCGGTGGTAAAACGCAGAAAATCTAGTAGTTGGGCCAAGTTGGTAGAACAAATTTGTTATAAAAGTTTAATAAATTGTCCAGCCATTAATTATGGAATATTGAATGAAAAAACGGCGATAACCGCTTACCAAGAAAAAACAAAAAATGTTGTAGTTGAATGCGGCCTCTTTGTTGATTTGGAAAATGGTTTCCTAGCTGCTTCTCCGGATGGTCTCATTGGAGAAAATGGAATCCTTGAAGTTAAGTGTCCAAAGAGTGCTGAAAATTTAACTGTAGAGGAGGCTTCTAAAACTTTAAAGCAGTTTTACATAGACAAAAAACAAGGCTGTCTAAAAAGAACTCACAACTACTTTTATCAAGTCCAAGGGCAATTGCATATCAGTAATCGTGAGTTTTGTGATTTTGTTGTATGGACAAGGAAAGATTTGTACGTTGAAGGTATATTTAAAGATGACAACTTTTGGCAAAATAAAATGTTCCCTAAATTAAAATATTTTTATCATGAAGCATTACTGCCAGAACTGGTAGATCCCCGAAAGTGTAGAAATATGCCTTTAAGAGAACCAAATAAAAATATATTGTTTTAGACTATTTTTTATTTTAAAATATCAAAAGATATTTTTATCTATCATATCTAAAAGTATTGCAGCTCCAAAAGAATGACGTCATCCTCTCTACAGATGTAAGTCGCGTGCTTATAAACTAGTTGGCGGCGCCTGCAAAAGGCTATGGTATTTTACTGTTTCGTACTTTATTATTAGAAATATGTAAGTGGAAATGTTGTTAACAAATTTAGTAGACATTGTAGTATTAGGGCCGGCTAATGAAAGTTTAAATTTTTTGAAAATTCCAAAATTTATGTTTATTACTTAAAAAAAAATCATATATTAAAAAAAATTAAACGTTATATCTTTTTTTAAGATATAACTATAAACGAATATCATTTAAAATTATTTTTATACCAAATATTGTTTAAATGAACAGTGAAATAAATTTCGGTATGTTTGTCTCTCTCGCACACTTGGTCGTCCGGTTTCGCCTTAAACATCTATCGCAAATAAACATTTTCGCTTTATGAGCCGAAATATTTCTTCCACAAACTTTACTGTGGGACACACCCCCACTTCTCACAACCCCAGGTACCTGCTTAAGGTGATTGGTAATGGGAATTTCCAACAATGTAATATTCAAGAATTTGTAGGCTCAATGATAAAATAAATAAATGAATAAAAAATAAATAAAAGCGTCTTTGTTTTAATTCCCTACCACAATAATGAATAACAATAATAATAGAGCTATCTATTGATATTCGCGACTCACTTGCGTGCAGTACCTACGTGTGAAATCTTAACTCTCATATCAGTGAAAATATAAAATGGCTACTAGTTTGAATGAATTGAACAAAATTGGGAAATGTGAAAGTAAACCGAAATTAAATCCCGATGAGCTAAAGATTGGTGAGAAATACCCGATTTGTGCCGTGAAAAAAGTTAAAGGAAAATTTGGTGATTGCGTCCTTGTGGAACTCGAACAAGGTGTCATATTTTTACCAAAAAGGATGGCAGATAATATATCTGATGAATTGATCGAATCTATCCATGAGGACGTTCTTTGTTTGGCTTTGGTATATCATGGCACCAAGGACACTGGAAAGAGCAACCCAGCGCATGTCTACGAAATCGTGCAGATATAAAACAGCTCGTAACAATATAATTATTATCAATTTATATTTAATCAACATTATTAGTGTTAGTACTTATGTGACGAGCCGTCACTAAATTCGTTCACGAGAAAATTGTAACTAAAAAGACTAATAACAAACCCTCAAAACATAACTAGAAAATTTGCAAATCTTAATTAATTAACACGCATGTTCTAATCGGCATATAGTACCATTCAAATAGATAAACAAAATCAACCATCAATCCCCAAATGCAGGAACAAAATTCGCGTATTCGCAAATTGCGAATAACATTGCGCTTGCCAGACATTGCAAATAACTCGTACAAAATAATACGCCAGAAACATCGCCAATCGCAATTACTTTCATCTAAAATTGTATCCAAACTAAAACAGCTGCAAACGAAACCCAGACACATAAACAACCTCAGAAAAAACCGCCCTCTTTAAAAATAGCTACAACAAGCTAACCACATGTAGCGATGACGACATGAAAAGCATGACGCAAGTTGAAAAAACCCGAAAATATACGACACACTAACCAATAAAAAACGTCAGTCGCGGAACCATAATTAAAAGCTAAACCCTATAACACAACGAAATAAAACCTAAAATCCCGTACCGAGTAATACACTAATCATGAAGAAATATAGTCCACTAAAGTCACGAGAGACAAGAATAATGAGTAAAAATCCCTATATAAGCAGTAGCGCCGAAAACGGTTTAAGTAGAAGTTTCCAGTTGACGCCGAAGGCTCTGTCCAAACCGGTGTCGAGATTTTTTGTTAATTTTTGCTGAATTTTGAAGAATTCCGAACTTAGAAGAATTTGCTGAGCCCGAGAGGAAGATAGAAAAATTCTCAATGCTGCAGCTGTGTAAGTCTACCTTTTAGTCATTCTTAATTTATCTTGCTTTCCGTTTTTCGTCATGTGTTCTCGAGTTCGAATCGTACATGTGTAGCGTTTAATTTATGCGTTTTCTCCGTTACGTTGGGTGTGAACAGTTAGCGCCGGCACCGAAAGTAATCTTTAGTGCTTCCATATGTTCCCGTTTGCAGGTGGCACGTTTAGCCTTGCGTCGGTTCTTGATTATTGGGGAGGATTTTTCGATAAATTACCGTTTGCTTTTATGATAATTATTCCAAATTTCTGTAAATTGCCGATTTAACTCTTTTGCTTGCGACATAAATATTTTATATGCGTTTTGGAGAGGATTTTTCTGGTTTTTACCATTTGCTTTTATAATAATTATTCCAATATCTCTTTAAATTTGCCGATTTAATTCTTTGCTTGCGACATAAATATTTTATATGCGTTTTTTGGAGAGGATTTTTCTGATTTTTACCATTTGCTTTTATAATAATTATTCCAATATCTCTTTAAATTTGCCGATTTAATTCTTTGCTTGCGACATGAATATTTTATGTGCGTTTTTTGGGAAGTTCCCGAATTGAAACCTTTTGTCTAATTTTC